TTTTTTTTTTTTTTTCAACCAGCTATTTAAGGTGTCCTGTGTGTTATCGGGTTCAGTCATCTAAGGCATCACAGTTCAATGTGCAGAGTTATGTCCCTTGGATACAACAGAAACCTTTGATTGGGTTCGACTCCCTGTTTGCCCTATTTATGTTTCCCGTGCTTTTGGGTTTCACCAAAGTGGTAAACATCTGCATCATTTTGGGCTTTCCTCCCACATAAAGGTGCCATGCCATGATATGACTGGTTAAAATTTGTCTTCAGCAACCCATGTTCTGTATCCCCTTGTGAAGATCTGGGTTAAAGCTGGTCTTCAGCAACCCATGCTTATCGTAAGAGGCAACTAACAGGATCAGGTGGTCCGACGCACTGACTTGGTTGATGCATGTCATCGTATCCCATTTGCGTAGGTCAATGCTCATGATGTCAATCGCTGGATTATCTGGTCCAGACTCGATTATTTACAGACCGCCGTCATCCAGCTGGAATAGTGCTGAGTGCGGCATTAAACAACAAACATGTAAAGATACACAGGATAAGTTAACATATGGGAAATTGGTTACATCATGATCAACCAGTTTTATGTGATTATTACCCACAGACTATTAGTGAAGAAAGCAGGGGGCTGCTGAAGCTTTTGTCGTGGAAGTATGGCTACTGATTTAAAGAAAACTCTTTACCCGACCAAACAAACTGTCATTCTGATGAAGAATAATCAATACATATTCCTTGCATTAGGAGTAAGATAACATGGCTCGACTCATTACATGATATAAAATGTTAATTACTTGGTCAGTGTTTTTGCTAGAGGATGGAAGAAGCAGGAAGGATATCACGTTGCTTTCGTTGCATTTTAAGCTCACCTTACCACAAGGCCCATGTGAGGTTTTGTCTTGTTGAGGTAGTCATGAGGCAATCATTTCATGTGCTGCTTGAGTTGTAGTAAAAACACAACTCAAGGTTTCACATTTTCAATCAAAACTGCGGAGTGTTTTAATTAATTTATGAACCACCTAAATGCAAAAAATTCAAGAAAGAATGAGAATACATTACAATATCTTACAGTGAAACAATACAGTAGTCATGGTATGAAACAAATTTGATGACAGTGGGTGAGAAAATGTGCAGCATGCAGACAACTGAAGTCATGCCATGTAAGATTGAACATCCTCACAACACCTGTCCCAATGGCTCAGTTAGTTACATACTAAACATAATACCTGTGGTTGCAGGTTCAATTCATGGAATTTAACCAGTCAAAAATCAACATTAGATGCATAGTAAACGGCTGTTAATACAATTCATATGTAAAACCTCTCAACAGGTCTTACAGTTCAAATGTAAAACCTCCAAGCAAGTCTCACCTATGAGATAGCAAGATACCTACAATACTATAGGCAAAAGTGGCAGTAGGTTTATAATCCCACATAAAAGGCTGACTTTGTTGCAGGGGTTTTATACGTTAAGTCCAGCATGAAGTCAAAAGAGGACATTTTTGTAGAGCAGATGTGCAAAGGTGACTCTGCTTGTCGTAAGAGGCGACTAACGGGATCGGGTGGTCAGACTCGCTGACTTGGATACAAACAGCAGATATGCAACCAGAGGCGAGGGGTGTTAGTGTTTGTATCACTAGGTCATGTGGGGGCACAGGTGGCCCTGTCGTCTAAGGCGCTGCAATTCACTTTGCAGGGTTGCCTCCCTTGGTCACACCAAGAACCTCTGATTGTGGGTTCGAATGCTGGTTCACCCCGATTATGTTTCCAGGTTTGTCAGCACCATGCCCTGCTTGTGGGTTTCTAATAAGTGGTAGACATCAAAGACCTGCATTACTTCAGGCTTTCCTTCCACATTACGCCGACATGCCGTGATGTAACTAGAATATTACTCACTCACTCACTCACTCACTCACTCTTTTGCTTCACATGCATGAAGGTGAACTCCAGCCCTCATGTCAGTGTCATGGACATGTCTGTGTCGTTGTGTGACAATGCACTTATCTAAGATACAATGACAACAAGGAGTAAGCTACTGAAAGACTTTCAAGCACTATCTTTTTCACAGCAATAATAATCTTGTTTGAGTGGTCAGATTTTGAAAAATAAATGAGTGGGATTTTTTTTTGCAATATACAAAATCTTTAATACCTTAATGATGTCATCTATTTTGCAAGTGCATTTTGTGCGTACTTTAAAGAGATTTTGTTTCTATGCAACGCCACTGGAACTACATTTTCCATGAGTAATTGGTGGTAATTATAGATAATGTATCATTAAGTTTCAACAATTCAGTTGGGAAAAAAGCATCTAGTAACAGTATGTTCAATCAGATTGAAACAATTTTTATAATATGGATAATTTCTTTCTTAACTCAAATCTTTTATGACAATTTTTTACAAATGCTGATGAGAATATTATGAAAAAACACCAAAAACCTTTGTGATACCATGTATAGTAACGGAACATTCGCCTTATGGATATTGCATAGGTTGATGTATTTTTTTTTTTTGCTCTATAAATACTTCCATTAAAACCAAGGAGTCATCTGTATGAAACAAACTATGTTGAAAGCTGAGACCATTTCCAGGTATTGGTTCACTGTTTCACCAACACCAAAGAGATGAAAAGTGGAAAAAATAAAATCTCTTGAAATATATTTTCACCTGCGACAAGTACAAACTTGTGCACCATAAAACAATTTGCTTATAACAAGCAAAAAAAGCTTAACTAGCACTGCACACTAAAATAGTTTGGTTTTACTGTTCATGATGTCTGTAAACAAAGAAATACATTATATGAAAGAAATAACATAAATGTTGCCTAGGAAACAATACTTTACTTTATCCTGAGTCAGAGTACACACTAATGTGCTGCAATTTGCTTTGCAGAGTTGCATCCCTTACTTGTGCCAGGATCTGCTTGGCACTGGTTAAAATCCCTGATTCATATTGAGATTATTGGGATTGACAGCACCTACCCATGTTAATGTGCTTCACCAACTGATAATAATCAGTTGTCAGCATCAGTCACATCTTCACACATTAAGTTGACATGCCATGAAACAAATGAAATCATGTTAAATGTGGTGTTAAAACAACACATTCACTGCCATGCCATGCCATGCCTGTAACACTGTCGAATATATTGAAAATAGAAAAAAGTTACAAATAAACTCAGACAAAAAGCCTATATGGATCGGAAGTTAAACAAAAGACATTTCCTCTCGAGGCATTAAGCTACAGGCAGTTTTAGGTTAATCTCTCTGTTGGATACTGGAACATCCATTAGTCTTTAAAAAAAGAAGAAGAAAATATAACCTTACCATTTCATGTTTAACTCGGTCAGTATAGAGCACCACCATGAAGACCCGGGGTAGAATAGGTCTTCAGCAACCCATGCTTGCCGTAAGAGGCGACTATGCTTTTCGTAAGAGCGACAAAAAGAATCGGGTGATCAGGCTAGCTGACTTGGTTGATGCATGTTATCGTGTCCCAATTGGGTGGATTGATGCTCATAATATCAATCACTGGATTGTTGGTCCAATCCGATTATTTACAGACCACCGTCATATAGCTGGAATTTTGCTGAGTGCAGCGATAAACAATAAACAAACATGTTTAGTTATGAAGGTATGTGTACTGAAAGGAAGAACAAAGCTACAATGACATTAAATATTAGTGCTTTGTGCCATTTGTCCCGTAAATGTTGTTTCAGTAGATCGAGATCACTCGAAACCATGTCTTCCTCATTGTTAGCTCAGCATTAGTCATCTATAGGCAACGTGGGTATAAGACATTTAGGCAAGAATGATTCACACCCATTTTGGATTTGGTTCTTTGTGTGGGTTGGAGTTTTCTTTTCAGGTTGGCAAAAATAAAACAAAGAAATGTGTCTTAGAAGTTTAGGGACCGACCTTTTGCTAAGGGACAGGGCTTGGGCCAGAGATTTTCTGTCGAGATGAGATATTTGTTTCAGCTACAGCTACAAAAACAGATTTTTTTAATTTAAAACTATTAGCCTGTATTTTTTTTTTGTAAAAGCACCTTGCAACAACATAATTTTTGTGGGCAGACAATTTTTTTTTTTCTATAAAATCTGACCTGGTCTGCTGGAAAATGCTTGACCGACCAATAGGGAAGACTGACCCTGGTTTGCTGGAGAATGCTTGACCGACCAATAGGGAAGACTGACCCTGGTTTGCTGGAGAATGCTTGACCGACCAATAGGGAAGACTGACCCTGGTTTGCTGGAGAATGCTTGACCGACCAATAGGGAAGACTGACCCTGGTTTGCTGGAGAATGCTTGACCGACCAATAGGGAAGACTGACCCTGGTTTGCTGGAGAATGCTTGACCGACCAATAGGGAAGACTGACCCTGGTTTGCTGGAGAATGCTTGATCGACCAATAGGGAAGACTAAGCCTGGTCTGCTGGAGAATGCTTGACCGACCAATAGGGAAGACTAAGCCTGGTCTGCTGGAGAATGCTTGACCGACCAATAGGGAAGACTGACCCTGGTTTGCTGGAGAATGCTTGACCGACCAATAGGGAAGACTGACCCTGGTTTGCTGGAGAATGCTTGACCGACCAATAGGGAAGACTGACCCTGGTCTGCTGGAGAATGCTTGACCGACCAATAGGGAAGACTGACCCTGGTTTGCTGGAGAATGCTTGACCGACCAATAGGGAAGACTGACCCTGGTTTGCTGGAGAATGCTTGACCGACCAATAGGGAAGACTGACCCTGGTCTGCTGGAGAATGCTTGACCGACCAATAGGGAAGACTGACCCTGGTTTGCTGGAGAAAGCTTGACCGACCAATAGGGAAGACTAAGCCTGGTCTGTGACCGAGCCCTTTCTCATTGTACCTGATCACCATCAACCACAGATTGTCCTGATCCAGGATATATCATTACAAGCCACTGCGATATTGATGTAAAACACTTTTCTCCCCTGTAAGGCGAGTATCCATTGCATTCATGAGTTGTTAATTCCTGTGTTTCAGATGCATATACACATTAAGCCTATAGAGAGTCCGGACGACCTTAATTCACACATCAAACAACGAAAGAAGAAATCAAAATCGGAACATTTATACAACGCTCCAACAATGGTGCCTACCCACGACCAAAACCATGATCGAAGCCTGGGATCCTTCCCGCTTGCCCTCGGCCTTCAGGAGAGGTCCCGCTTGGACGGACCACCACATTCGCCTCTCCTTGGTCTCGGGGGCCTGGGACATTCCGAGGCACTACGGCATGATCGCATGGTCCAGAGTCCCGGATCCGATGGACCCCGGAGCCTAGAGAAACACAGTCCCGGAAGTGAAAAGCTCATGTCGGGGTCTGGATCCGTGAGTTTCATCGAACTGGACGATACCGGGGAGGTGGTGAGCGCTTCCGTCAACAGGCCGCCAGGACAGGGCTTGAACCTGAATCACAACTTAGGGTTGGACCGAGGCGGGTCCCTCTCTCAAATCATGGACAGAACTAGTGCTCATTTATTAAACCGCAGTGGTTCCCATCTGGGGCTAGACCGCCGAAACTTGCAACCGCTGAGCTTGGACCGCAGCCGTGGGCTGAATCTGGTCAGTCAAGGCATGAGGATCCAGGAGTCCTCTGTGTCATCAAGTTCATACCAAAGCTCTGTTTGTACAACATCCCCCAAATCAGAAGTGACATATTCATCGCCGTTAACGCCATCTGCATCGCATTCACCTATCTCCCATCATTCTGACCGCCTTTTCTCCCAGTCTGTTCATGATCTTAATCGATCACTGTCCAGCCCATACCCTCACATGACCTTGCCAACCGACCGCAACCCGTATCCAGCTCACGTCAACAACATCTCCCTGCCCATGGATCCAATGAGCCTGCCGGTGTCGACACATACAGGCCGGCCCTACCACAGTCAAATGCAGCTGTCGCCACGCATGCCACCCATGTTGTCTCTGCCGACATCAAGTCACATGACCTTGCCAACCACCCCACAGAGGATCCATGATTCCATGTCATTCTCTCCGCTGGGCAACTGACTATAGGCCAAGGTCAAGGTCAGTATGAGTTGACTTCGAGCATGTGTGAATGAGGGAAACTGCAGTAGACAAGAAATAGTTGTCGTTATGGCCATGTAGAGGTTTTCCTCGTATAATGTCTTCTGTTCTGTGTAAAGTATTTACCTATTTCAAAATTAATAATCAGGATATCCAGCATGACCAAAGTGCCGTTGTACAAATCAACCTAAGTGCTACGACTGTCGTAAGTCTATGTTAAGGTATCGGAGTTTTGATCACCTTAGTGCTATGACTGTCGTAAGTCTATGTTAAGGTATCGGAGTTTTGATCACTTTAGTGCTACGACTGTCGTAAGTCTATGTTAAGGTATCGGGGTTTTGATCACCTTAGTGCTACGACTGTCGTAAGTCTATGTTAAGGTATGGGAGCTACAATCACCTTAGTGCTACGACTGTCATAAGACTATGTTAAGGTATCGGAGTTTTGATCACCTTTGTGCTACGACTGTCGTAAGTCTATGTTAAAGTATGGGAGCTACAATCACCTTAGTGCTACGACTGTCGTAAGTCTATGTTAAGGTATCAGAGTTTTGATCACCTTAGTGCTATGACTGTCGTAAGTCTATGTTAAGGTATGGGAGCTACAATCACCTTAGTGCTACGACTGTCGTAAGTCTATGTTAAGGTATCAGAGTTTTGATCACCTTAGTGCTACGACTGTCGTAAGCCTATGTTAAAGTATGGGAGCTACAATCACCTTAGTGCTACGACTGTCGTAAGTCTATGTTAAAGTATGGGAGCTACAATCACCTTAGTGCTACGACTGTCATAAGACTATGTTAAGGTATCGGAGTTTTGATCACCTCTGTGCTACGACTGTCGTAAGTCTATGTTAAGGTTTGGGATTTACGATCACCTTTGTGCTACAACTGTTGTAAATCTATGTTAATGTAACGATCACCTTAATGCTAAGATCGCTTTGTACAATGGCACTTCGCTCAGGCAACATTAATTTTGGGGCAAGTTTTTTCTTGAAGGAATTACTGTTTGTTTTAGATCCCTCAACAGACCATCAGATATGTGCATGAAAATGTTTATATATATTTTACTGAAGTTTTAACTTTAAAGCAAGTCTAAGACCCAAGATGTATTATTTACCTCGTAGTACTGTCTACCGACATCTTTAAAGAAATTCAGCATGGGTCAAAGAAACGTTCATGTTAAAGAAATGTGTTCACTGAAAACCTCTAAACTTTTTGACACATTTCAGTCTTACCCTATTTTAAACGTTAAGAAAAAAAAAAATTGATTGTTGAAATGAATCAAGTCTAATACTCGTACACGGGAACACATCTGATAATTTTCATAACAATTTTCTTAAAGTTTTACTCATTCCTTAAATTATGCAGGTATGGCAGGCCTAAAAGGGTCCCCCCACTCCCCTACCATCCTCTATTGTAATTATTATTATTATTATCATCATTATTATTATTATCATCATCATTTTCTGCTTCCTTCCAGACTCGTGGAAGCTGTACGCTGTATTGGAGGCAGCAACAAACTGGTAGTGATTCTCTATATTTGAAACATAGATGGAACTGCAGACTCACATCTTTTCAAAGATGTTTACTTCAAATATTTTTTTCTTGCCATGTAAACATTTTCACATCCCAGATCAGATCCCTGAAGGAACTAGACCATGTCATTTATTCATTTCCTTGGTAACAATCAGAAACTGGCTGAGGTAACACAGAGAAGGAAATATAAGGAAGGGAAGAATTATTTTATTGATGCAATACAAATAAAATCCCGGAACTTAAGGCTACCTAACCTTCCATTGTGCCAAGAAATATTTTGCATTGCTGGAATTGACACTGTTTTGATTATACCCATAAAAAGTTCAAAATTTTAAAATTTCAAAAATACAAAACACATTGTATCCCTTCAGTTGAATAAGCAGGTAGATCTATAACAAACTTGGTCAATAAAAGTACGAAATTTGATATAAAACATCACGAGACATGATGATTTACCATTTAAAATGTATTTCCTGCTCTCAAAGGCATTGTTTTATATGCAAAGATTAAGATTACCGTGTGTATTTTCTCGTAAACTAAGCCGGAAATAGCAATCAGCTGTGCACACGTTTCCTCACAATCTACCGGTGATTCCGTTAACCTGTGTGGATGAGGTCCCCCATGTTCTGCGGGGTGGTCTCTATCACCAGCATAAATGAATACTTCCTTCAGGGATTTGGAGAAAAGGCTTTTCAAAGTCTTATCATAGATACTGGAATTGGTTTAAGAATTAATTACCGTTTCCTTTCATTGAATGGAACTTCCTGATGAAATATGTATTATATATCAATTTATTTTGTGAGGCGATGGAAAAACACTTTTTATTTTCAAACTATGTGCCAAACTGGTATTATTACAGAATTAATTATTGAAAAAGTCAAGTTGTACACTCCTGAGCTTCAAGTTAGGGAGGTTGTTGAGAAACCAAGTCTTGTTGCATGGTCCAGGGGAGATAACTCTCCCCACATTGGCATCTAGAATTCTCAAGCTGATTGTTACTGTTTGATTTTGTTGGTGAACAGTCTTGTTATGTTGGTGGTTTGTTTCTGTTACAGTCTAAAACATGTTTTCTTGGAGGAGACATTTCTTAAAACAACATTTGTATAGACATGTGATTTAAAAATGACAAAATTGGTTAAATTCAGATTACTAGACACAAGAGTATGAAGAAATTGTGTAAAAAGTGTCAAAATATTCTGTTGTAATTTTTCAAAAGATTTTTCTTTTGTAAGTTTAAAATTCTTCAAATGCAAAGTCTCTACACCTAATAATTGGAATATTGGATTTTGAAATTATATGAATTAATTTCACATTGCATATCCAAGTTTGGAGTCCAAAGCAAAGCTGACTGGCCCTTACCAAGGATAATGTAATAATTTTTGTTTTCAGTGTATGTACTTGAAAAATACATTATAAATTTAATATTATTTTTCAGAAGTGTCATGAAAAATGACATTTAGAAGACTTTATCTATTCTTATCCAGTCTTTTATTTTGGCGATCCAGTCAACTTTTACCCAGCCCCGAATAGAGGTTATCTGATATTGTGTAGTGTATTCAATACACCATGAAATCAACTATTTGATGTGTTGTTTTTATGCATTTACTGTAAATATTTATTTATTTGTTTAACCTGGGATTGCCCTGTAAGGGTCAACGTGTTGAGATGTGTATATATCATGAGAGTAGAGAAACATATGGTGCGTGCTTATATGTAGCTTTGTCAGTTGTCCGAGAATAGATATGTGCTGTTTTGTCATAAATATTATATCTAGATTTTAAAATTACTCATTACCAGACAACTTATTATAATAATACTTTATTTCAATTTTTTCATTGCAGTGTTTCAATGATAATTCTCCTCAAATTCTTGCACTATTTTGCACAAATAGTCACTTGTTTCTTTCTACAGGGTAAAGGAATTCTGGTGTTGAATTTTATTCAATATATGTGATTATATTTTTAAAAACTACATGTCATGAGTTGACACATCACACTGAAATGGACACTGCTTTAAAAAACATGTCCATTAAAAAAAACATGGGTTATCTTGCCAATTATTCATATATTGCTATTTATGTTCATATTGATTTTTTGATAGCTTCAAGCAAGAAAATCTATTTAACTAAATCATAATGCATGTCATTCTTCCATTTAATGGAATTAAACATTGTTTTATGGCTCTGCATAGCAGAGAGCGTAATATTCTTTTCATCTTCAAACCGGATTCACTTTTAATGTCAATCCCAATTTTACCCCCATACTTTGAAATAGAATTATGGTTGAGTTCAACTAGTAAATGTTTGAATCATGGGGAAGTGTCATGTAAAATTGGATGTTGATGTCTAACGTATGTATTTTAATCTTTGATATTAAATTTCATAACTTGATATATGCCTGTATGGGATGTTCCTTGTGGCAAAGTGTAAGGGTTTCCTCTGTGCATTACATGCCTCAAATATTTATGTTTTGTTATAGCTTGGAAGCTTCTCCATGCACAAATGCATATTATACAAAGCTTTTGCTTGAAGCAACGATGGATGTTTTTTGTGGTGCAGGGTAGAATGCTTGTTAATCTAGTGTTGTGTAGTGTGAGTAAATTCATCTGTGTCTATTGCCGTGGTGTTGAGGTAGCTTCATCAAGACTCGTGGTTTAATGGTTCCACAGACATCCATGGAACCCCCATTCGAGCTGAAATCAAGATGTGTTTATTTTTAATAGGTATGATTATTATCTGCGTTTTTAACATTATACGATATGATTATGTTGTTACAATATCAACTGTCAGATTGATCACTTTTTTAAAATAGGTATACACAATTTTTGGAGAGTTTTTTCACTTACACATTTAATGATTGACAAATGTTAACCAATATTACCAGTAGCAAATGTAACCTGACAACACCTATTTGAATTATTATTATTTAAAATAGTTACATGTTGAATACCTCCCCCCCCCCCCCCCCATATCCCCCTCCCTACCTTATCTACCCCCCTACCCCCTACACCTACCTATCCCTGACACACACACACCCTTCTACCCAGTTCTTCCTCGGCTTACCACACACCCCACCCCACCCCACCCCACCCCACCCCACCCCTTCCACAGACCATATGTCCCAATGTTCAAGGTATCCTGAAGACTTCCAAGTATAATGTGTTGTTTTCAATATTTAGACTTTTTACTTCCCACAGTTCAAATATGTAAAGACCAGTAAATATAGCAAACTATCATCAACATTGTTATCTGTAGGAATATCAAGTTTTTATTCGGAGGAAGCTTCAAGTTTTGCTAGTCTGTTCATAAGCATGCTAACAATTGTTTGTATTTATAGTCATATTTATTGATCATTCTGTAGTTTCAAAACCAGGATTGCGTTCAAAACAAGAAGTGTAATCTCGCCTTTGAAAGTCAACATGAGTATTGTTAAAAAAATTATATTTCTAAGGCAGTAAAGATGTGTTCTCTAAACCCAAGCTGGATTGTGTGATCAAGGACGCTTGGCAGTCATGTTCTTGTGATGTAATTGTTCCACTAAGTATAGTTGCTTCAAATGGATAGGTAATTGTTCAGACAAAATTGTTCTTGTTTTTTCCTTTTGGCGATATGGTTATAGACAGTAGTATTCTTATTCACAATGTGACCTTGAGTCCCTGTTGATGGCCAGAGTCACGGCCTTCTGTGGAGACTGACCAATGTCTGGCAGAGCTAGTGACGGGTTTAACCCACACTGTGTGCTGACTTGTTTGCTGCAAGTGTAGTTCACATTCAAGTACTATTTGTCCCCAACTGTATTTTCCTTACACAGACATCTATTGTACTTGGCTTTTACTCCTTGAGAACAGCCCGAAACAACAGCCATATCACTGATTTCAATAATGAAGCAGGTGTTAAAGAAAATATGTTCTTTAAAATTATATATCCTAAACATAGGTTCATGATTTCTGACTATATCACAGAAAGGACGAGAAGTTCAGGAATAAAAGGAAATTGTAAAACTCCCAAATTATCACATGAGAATGATGCAGACATTTTCAAAGGGACATAACTCTTACTTATTATTTGAGTTTCTTTCTCTATTGGCCAATTTGTCAACGATGATCAGTTCCACATGGAATTAGCTCCATTCGAAACAAATGTTGCCAGTGTTAAGGTATGCTGGGAACAATTGCTCAGTAAATACTGTTCCATGGGAATAATTCCCCAAGAGAAATGTAGTACAACGAAACAATTTAACTACAGAAAAAGATACTCTTTGACAACGCTACTCTTTCTTAATTTGCAATTGTTCACAGGTAAAAATAATTAAAGCTTGAGTAGCATGGATATAAATATCGTTTATATCATTATTCAGCAGTTAAAAATGGTTAATGAATTTCACATAACGACAAGCAGCCCCAAAAGCTCCAATGTGCACTCCAGTTCACTGATGAAGACAGCATATCCTTGTAATCTGCTGAGTCAACACAAAACGTCCATCAGTAAGTCAGGTTGGCTGCCTCTGCTCAAACCTCCATTGTGGCCTTTCTGTCTTGAACGCAATCCTGGTGAGTTTGTTGATGTTGTGTTGACAACCTATACTTCGGTAAGTCCTGTGTTTCAGATGGACATTTGTGCAGCAGCATCGATGATGTTTTTATATTTTTAGATCATGTTTTTCATTGCTGTATTTATGCAGAACGTATTTACATTTGACAAGCTTCTGTTTGGAGGGGAGGGTATGATTGAGTAGATTCTTGTCCTCAAGGTGAAAAACTATTTCTGAGATTTACGCTTTGTTGCAGACTTATGATACCTGAAATAATTATAAAAATGAGATGTCACTTCAATATGTAAACTGATTGGCAAAAGAAACTATACCTGTCAGTTGATTTTATCGTATGGTTGATTTTCAATTGAAAACTAACTTAAATTAGCGATATGAACTTAATATACGATATTATATCCAAAAACCTAACTGTTCTAGTGCATTGTCAGCACTCACAGAATATTACTACATGGTTTTATTTTTTAAAATATCATTTGATTTAAATACTTAAAAAAAACAAAAAAACAACTTTTTGCACAATACACAACTGCTGATGAATATCTTATCTTTGAAACTCAATAAATTCGCATTTTTCAGCACAAATTTACATTTCAAACATGATGGGGGTCATGTGGTTTCAAAATCATTTCTTACCCCAGTCTACATTGAACCAATTTATTTTATTCACAAACTTACCCAGCCACAGACTACTTTTTTCAAAGTTTTGCAGGAATGAGCAATGGTTTAACAGTTCTTTAAATTCAATACATAAGAAACAAACTAGGTATATTTTCTTTTGCCTCTCAGTTTAATTACATACAAAATAGAATTCAGACATGGTCGTGTGATAAAGGTTAATGTGAATGGAAATAGGCTGTGTACAATCTGCAGCCATTTTTCACTTTCATATCTTCCCCAAAGGACAAGATGTGATGACACAAACTTCAAATAATAATCTCGAGTATACTTGTTGACGACTAATCACAAATATTTGGTTTGATGAGTCTTTAAAGAGGCAACAGGAGACCTGTTTAAAAACTTCCTGTCCTCTGTTGTGTATGAGGGTACATTAAATGTTGCTCGGCACATCGTATATCTCAGAATTGAAAAAGGGTGGGGCAGTAAACATCACCTTGCCTGGGCCCAATGTCAGTACAGTGCATAGCACTGACCTCGACACTCCTCTTGCTCCTCTTTAGGCGCATCAAGCTCAAGTGAATATTTTCCCACCAGATGAATATGTGATTTCTTTAAAATAATAGTAATATAATGCAAATATATTTATCATCTTTGAAGAAAGTAAACCTTGCAGTTATCCAGTTAAAACACTTTCTTTTGTTGTGAATCTGATTCATTAATGAGAGAACGCAATGCCTGTTTATCGGTCTTATATGTCAAGTCTTGTCACTCATGCAAGTGTCAGATTCATGAACCTGTTACTTAGCAACAGCCTTATTTAACTGAAAGGTAGCATATTACAACCTATGAAAGGTAGCTGAGGCAGTGTGTCCTGCTGACTCCCCCCGTGATGCAATGCAAGCTGGTGAAAATACAACAAACCCATTGTCAATTCATGTTATCAGAAGAATTATTGAAGGAGACGACTACACACTGTCATATTTGATGGGACTTAAGTCTGTGATACAGTGAATCAGCCCAACAATTTACCGGATGATCCATCTTAGCCAATGAAATTGGATGCTGGTGTGTTTCAGCCAATCAAATTGGCTGTTTCAATTCATGTCAATAAGATTGGCCGACTGTGCTTGTTAAGTAGCCAATAAAATTGGCTATATGTTGAGTTCAGCCAATTAAATTGGCTTTATATGGTCAAGGAGGACATTTAGTCAGCTTTTCATAAAAAGCTAAATTTGAATTTAAAAATCATGTTTGTTTGTTTGTTTGTATAACATTATTATGCCCCTACTGGTGCTTTTAATATTTGCTGTATGATGTATATTATCAGCTGTGACATATAATACCATTTGATATGAAAGCTCATATTGACGTGCGTGTCATCAATATTCACTTACATTATATATATTTTTCTTATATTATGTTTGAAAACCATGCCTTCTATTATACAGTCTATATATTGATCCTTTTCTTTTGGAAACTGTAAAACAGGTCAATGTATATATTTCAGTCAATATGTCAATCAAATGAAACAGCACTCCAGCTAGGTTTGAAGAGTTTAACGATCTCATCATCAACTAAACGTTGATCACAAACTACATCTTCCTGTTCACGTCGCATTCACATACTGTATTTGAATTCTTTGCTAATTGATAGACTGATTATTTTGTAAGAGATAAATGTTTTAGGACGCATAAAATGCACATCACAAAAAACGTACAGTTTGACGTAATATGTTCATTAAGAGGTCAAAGGCTCCAGTAGAATTTTGTTATTTATTCTTGCTTTAAAGCTCTATACCAGGATATCTAAATATGAATATACAATGTGACATAGAAGTGCTTTATATAGGCCAGATCAAATTAATTATTAGATTGTCATTGCCATCTGTCTCCCCACCAAACATCCCATCGTACATCACTGTTCTGTCCCCAAATATCTCCAATCAAAAAAGATCACTGGGCCTTATATTGTTTTTAGTTGTTTTTGCAAAACTGACAGACAGAAAAATGTAAATTAGAAGAAGAACAAAATTACTTTTGAAAATTTGGGGGGTCTAACACTATTTCATAATTAAGTGAAATGAAAATAAAAATGAGATTTTATCACTGCTGTTCGTAAAAAATGGTGAATAGAATGTATATATTTCTCCATGTAACCCAACAAAGAGACCCAAAGATATCTATTGGTATTTTGCCATGTTAAAGCGTATTTGTTTTTCATTCATTGGAAGCAGTGGTATCTGAAAATTATTATTTTTTTATTATTTGTTTTTTTTTACCACCTGCATCGAATTTTCGGCCCCAGCTTTTAAAAACCAATAGAGGGCCCTATGTGTATTCCCCGCTCTCGTCATCTGATGTACTCTGGTGTACCGTGTACTACGACCAAACATACATGCTTCATGGGAATCACATCCATTGCCTGTTGTTGTACACAGATGCATTGATCAGATTGTTGAAAAAAATATACAGCCACACCCCGACAAGGTTGGTTTAATGATAATATGGGATTAACAAGTATATATTAATTGCATCCCATGTCACATTTATTAGAAATTTGAATGAAAATCTAATAATTTATTGTGGTCTTATACTACATTTGTCAATTTTATTATTGAAGACACATATTTTTTCTTTCCAGAAAAATGTATGTAATCAATTTTTATAAAAAAATAATTGCATCTTTCTAATGTTAGATTGTGGAGAGGTGTCCTTACGACAGTGGTTATAATATATTCAGGGTACTTAGAGAGTCATATAGTGTTTTGCATGTGTGTGCTCAACC